TTGCTCTCTGCCTGCCTCTGGCCATGGGGACAGGCGGGTAGAGCTCGGGGCTGGCTCCGCAGCTTTGGGGTCTGGGGACAACGTAGTGCGCCTCCTGGACCCGGGTGCTGCAGGCCCCTGACCTGGCAAGTTGAAAGGCCGCACAGATCCTGTGCAGGTGTGATGAGCCGCTTTGCACCGACTGCCCCGGCGGCAGCATGGACGACTCTGGTTTCTGTCACAGTCAGTGGGAGGAACACGGGGAGAACTGAAAGGAGCGTCTGGGGGGGGACACACGTGGGGCTGCAGTCTCCCCGTGGGCGCTGCCTGTCCCCACCTCACCAGGCTGCTCCAACCTCGCCCTCCGCCCCAGTGACTGCACTCTGTGGCCCCCTCTGCTGCCATACTTTGAGTCTCTTCAGAAGAATCAGGTCATAAATAAGCCGAATTCTAACACACACACACACATTCTGTCTTTATGGAAAATGGCTGCTAATCCATGATCATTTTTTTTTCCAGAAACAGGTTTTATGATAATATAGTAAAAATATTAAATTAGAAAATGCCTCACTAAGGGTTATAAAACCTTACTACACTAGAGATAGGTAATTATCCCCTGTACAGCCTAAATGACAGTTTAAAAGAAATAAAAATGTTAGTGCTCATTACTTGCTTTTGTAGGTTGCAATAAAGGGTAAGTTAAATTTTAATTCAAGGAAGGGCCCCTGCTATCGACCTTCTACCTTAGGTCCAAGTCTTGTTAATTACTCCGTAGGTTATTCTCCTGCGTGATACGGACATTAATACATTTTCCACAGTGGACATTCCCACTGGCCAGTGAGGCCAGTGTGGGGGAAGGGTAACAGGGGGGACGGTGTTTCAGCTCAGTGATTCAAATCTTGATTCTTGAAATGATAGGGAGCAGGAATTATGCTTTTTTTTTTTTTAACTAAGTTCATTATGCATAGCCTTAAGGGGACCTCAACTATACACTTACCCTAGAGAATCAGATGGAGACAAGGTTAACCTGAAGGATTGATAGTTGAGCTTCTCTGCATGGCTAAATCCCGGTTAGGAAGGATGCTGCGGGGGGAGATGTTCCCAGTGGCAGAAGGCAGTCCAGCCCTCTGTCCCATGGTGCCTTTTTATCACCCAGTTTTCTTTTTAGTTTTGTTTTCCTCGGGATGGGGAAAGGGATATGGTCAGGTTCCTTTTCTGTGAAAATGCCTTTCCCTTTCCCTTAGCACTGGCACCATGTCACATGCGTGTGCGCGTGTGGGGGGAGGGGACGCTGTGCTTCGGGCCCTGAGTCTTCACGCTGAGGTGTGCAGAGACTCCCCGAGGGGAAGGGACAGACACATTTTTTGGGAATCAGTTTCCAGTTGTGTACTCTTACCCCACTCAGGGTAAGAGTGGGGCGGCTGGAGAATGCACCTAGTCCGGGGTCTCCAGTCTCACCTCTCACAGCGCCCCCCACCCACTGAGCAGCCCGCCGTGCCCCTCCTCTCTCTGACTTGAAGGGTTCCCACCCCAGGCACCGAGCGGGGGCGTGCCTCACAGCACTGAGGTGGGCGGGAATTGAGAATGGAGGGCACCGGCACCAGGTGACAAGGCCTGTGGCTCCGAGGGTTCCAGGGCTTTATTTCCAACAAAGCTGCAAGAAAACCTAATTGAGCTGTCAGCTGGCACATCATTAAAACAGTTTTTGGTGGTAGATCACTATGTGATGTTGGGGGGCAGGTAATTCAGAAGGAATCAAAAGAATTGGGGGACGTTGCTGTCACAAAACTCCCTGTCCCCGTCTGCTTGTCCACGTGATGAAGTTTCTCTGCACTTGCGTCTGCAAAAACCGACAGAAAGAGCCTGGATGCTGAGCGTTCTTTCATTCTGGCGATAAATACTGTTCACCATGAGTGCGTGACTGGCCCCGTCCGTATTATGAAGACGTGCAGTTCCAGCAATGTTTTACACAGTTATTGTAATAAATTTCCACCAAAATTATAATACATTTTATTTAACTGTTGTTGTATATGTCTGTTGTATCCCGATAATAATTGTGTAATAATGACACAATCCAGAAGTACTTTTTTAATTACTTAAAGCCTTACGGTGTCAAGAAATGAAAATATTTTCAACTTACGAAATTTCATAAAAAGTGTTCAATTTGCATATTTATTTTTTGTGGCCAAGAAGTGTAATAGGGTGATCCATAAAAGGCTTCCAAGTATAAAACAATTAGGACAAAAATCTGTAGGGAAAAATCAAATGGAAATACAAGTTTAAGAAAGGAAAGAAAGCTGTAAAATTGCCAAGTGGAAGAGTATGTTTATATGTTATTTAAGTAAACGATGATCGGTATCAAGGCAGGATGGCGCGAACATCCCACCGGGTGCTTTACAGAAGAAATGAGAGAGTTTTATTCCAGAAGTTAGTACTCCTAAGACTCTGATAATTATGTCCTTTGTGACTAGCAAATTTATTGAGAAAAACCGTGTGTGTGAGGGGGCTGCGTGGTGTTGTAGAACTCTTACAGGAGATAGGCAGACAGATTCGGGGCCCGGGCTGTGGCCGCGTTGTCCCCCTGCCCGCCCCACAGGCCAGCGCAAAGAGCCTCTGCAGGGAACCATGTGCTGGAGCCGCACAGAGCAGACCAGTTGGCGCTGGGCGGCTTTATCCTGGAGGTGCTTTTGGGGGGTGTGTGGTGTCCCGTTGGGGCTAAGAAACAGCAGGGCGAAGGGGGAACAGGAACATCAGTTGGAGGCTGTCACCTTACTCTTGGCCAGGGATGGTGAGACTGGAATCGAGGGGGGCTGGGTGGGAGCAGGGGAGTTTAAGATGCTGTGGGGGTAGAGCCAGTCACTGAGGAAGGCCCAGAGCTGCAGTGACATTGGAGGTCTTAGATTGGAGTCATCCCTTCCTCTTCGTGTGTGTGTGTGTGTGTGTGTGTGTGTCTCTCTCTCAAACTGTTTTAAAAGATCCCAGACCCCTCAGCCTTCCAAGTTGCTTTGCCACGAACAGCTGCATATGTTTGTCAGCTTTGTCCACCTGAGTGTGAAATGATGTTCTATCAAAACATGGGTTTCAGCATTTCACTCGGCGCTCCTGACACGTGAACCCCGCTGCGGCCGGTAACTGGCGCGGGGCCGGGCACTGAGCAGAGGCCCTTGGTGGTGGTAATGACGGGAGCCAGTCTGGCGAGCGGGGCCCTCACCAGCCTGCACAGCCCTAAAGCCAGACTGTCCTTTTTGTTCTGGCCTCTCTCCCCTCCGTGCCGTTTCTTTTGTGTGTGGAAATGACCAGAGAGACTTGTGCTTATGGGCAAATAGGCCACCGTGAGATCCCGGGAAGCTCGCGCTGGGCCCAGCTGTCCTCCGGTGATGGAGCTGGTGATTTGGAAGCCTCGGCCTCTGGAAGTGAGGCCGCCTGCCTCTTGTTGGCCTCTGGTCCAAAGCGCCTTCCACCCAGCTTGTACTTGTGGGCTGGCCAGTGCAGGCTGGCAGGTGTGCATGGCCGGAGGAACAAAAGAGCCGAGCTCCAGGTGAGGCTGTGGCCCTTGTCTCTGGGCCGCAGATCTGGTCCACAGCTCAGGGGCAGCTGCTGGCAAATTCTTGGGTAAAATCTCTGTGATCATCCTGGAGACCTGCTGTTTGCACACCTGCACTTCTTTGCCTGCCTTGTGGTCCCCAACATGAAAGGGTCAGGCTTCATTCTGGGCGACTGCGGTTTCTTCTTTAGAACTTTTCCTTTTCTAGAAGTCTTAATATGCTTCTTTTATTGCTGGACTTCCTCCCGATGGTACCTCTGTTTCCACATACCACCCTCGCAAGATGACTTCATACACAGACTGAGACGTTTTTGTGTTGCAGCCTTGTTAACCCGAAATAGCTGTTTGAAGGGTGGTGGTTTGGTGTTTTGTTCTGTTTGGAAAGTCAGGTTTGCTGAAGATGGCTCTCGGGTAATGAGGGCACTTTCATAAGCCTATTCTCTTAGCCAGCATGGCAGGCTGTCTTTTAGGGTGAGCTCTTGAAAGTAGAAAACAGAGCAGGCACAGCTTTCTTGTGGAGTCATTCCCTGGCTGGCCTGTGACCATAGCTGTGTGTGCCTGGCCTCCCTCTGTGGGGGTTAGTGGCGCAACCTTCCTGCAGGGGCAGCTGTGGGTCACCTGCCTCGGCTGGCCCTGTTTCCTCCGTGGCTCGCCCCCCTCCTCACATCCCCGCAGGGGGAGTCTGCGCTCTCTGCGCGCGGGACCGTGTTTGGGTGCTCCCATGACAAGGGCAGGAGAGACCCCAGCCCACCTCTTTTGAGATTTCCAGGCCTTGACACAGAACATGGGCTGGGTGGGTTGTTGCGTGTGTGTGTTGCACCTAACAGCAGAAAAAGAGGTTGGAAAGGAGACTTTATTTTCAAAGACCCAAGACCCTGGCATACTATCATTTTCTGAATTTTGAAGTCCAGCTCTAGAAATAAATGAGCCAATCGAATTATTTATTAGATTGAAAATAGATAAAAGGGGCCAGGGGAGTGGGGGAGAACCTTGGTTCCACCACCGAACAGCTGCACATGTGATAGTAATTGGAATCTTGTTGCCAGGTCATTTTCATTGTTTTTCAAGTACTGCCAAGTCCAAGAAAATGTATGAAAACTAAATCATATCCCCCTACATCCCATGTCTGATTGAATCCTCCTCGTCGTGCGGCAGTCTCATACATCCTATTAAAATATTCAATCTTGTTTTCTTACTTGAAGAGCCTGTCTGTAAAGGGCAAACTTATAGAAAACTCATTCCCTGGAGACAGGTATCCAGCCACACCGGACTGTTTACATATTTTACTATTTGATTGGCTGCTTCTGGGTTTTACCTTCCTTTGTATTTGTGAGTAAGGGCTGTGGGATGCATTTTTAATTACCAGGCTGTGTTGGCCATTGAAGAAACCAAGGGGACATTTCCTGGCTTCTCAGTTCTTGTTGAACCTTGAAAAGGGAACCAGTGTATTTACCAATTTGTTTTGTTTGTCTTCTAGGACTGAGTTGTATCGATCTCTTTTTGGGCAGCTCCACCCTCCTGACCAAAGCCAAAGGGACTGACCGCACCTGCCACTCTTGCTACAGGCCCGAGGCGGGAACCCAGACACACGGACAGGCGGACACACCGTGCGCCGGCTCGCCAGCCCCAAACACAGGAAGCTGTCAGCCCATGACTTTGGGCTAGCTGGGGAGTCCTGGGCAGGTGGGGGATTTAGAGCACATGCCTAATAAGACCCAGGAAGCCTGGAGTCAAGTGTCCATGTCCCCCATGCTTCAGTTTGCTGGGGACCCGCGCCCCACGCTCGTTCACCATCACAAATAAACCGTGTTGTTACGGCCACGGCCATGCGCATGATGTCTTAGGCAGCTCGGAGTCAGTCGGCTTGAGAGATCTGGTAGAGGGACAGGTTTGTGGGGGACGGTTTTCACTTTCTTTCCAGTCACACAGCCACCTCTCATGATACAAAGTTCGTGGAAGCCCGGATGCCGCTTACTGGGCGGGTCATGTTTGGCAATGGCTCAGGGCTCTGAGGAGCAGGGAATCCCCAGAAACCTATGAACTGTGCCCAGGAGACTCTGTTACTTGGAGGCATTCGCCTGTGTGTCACAAATACAGCTCCCTGACTTCTCATTTCCTCCTCTTCCCCCTGTAGATTTCTTCCACAGTCCTTTTCCAGTCTCACCATTCCTAAATCACTTTATTGAGATGAGCTCTGGTGTAAATCCAGCAGGAGGAAATGATTCACTTGTTTTTCATGCAAAGGTCAAAAGCTGGAAATTAAATCCCCATAAGGGGGATTTATTGGCCTGCTGTGGTCAGTATGCAATGAAGATTATCTCGCATAAGCAATGTGTGTGTCCGGCGCTCGCTGCTGACCGCCCCTGGTTCCTTTGCCCACATCTTTACATGGAGCTGTGGAATTCGAGAAGACACGCGCATCCAGTTGTGGTGCAGAACTAGTCACTATTGTTAACGTCAGGTTCTGATACTGTTCTGAAATGTCAGAACCAAGTGACAGATTTGGGTACCCGGGAGTCCCACATGTCATACTGCCTCAGTGTCTGGGGGCCACGTGCTGGGCCTAGAGGCTGGGCTCCAGATGCAGCGAGTCCTGCTTGTGATCAGCCTCACGGTGTAGTGTGAGCGTCAGAGCGTCTGCTGAGCTCAGGATGGGCGAGACAGGGGAGGGGGGGGAGGTTTTTCCATCTCACATTAATTGGACCTTGGTATGTGATGATTTATTTCTCTGGTCTCAGTACTTACCTCTTGGGCTTGACTGTCAGGGAAATGTTTAATTTTCAGTGTATCTCCAGCTACCCAAAAGATCAATCAACAGGAATAGAGTTCCCCCACATTTACTCCCTTCAAAATGATCACTTTTTAAAATGGAGAACATCCAATCCTGTCCACCTAGCCTGAGGAGCCCGAATCGTGCACATTAGAGCAGCAGGAAGTAACCTCCTAATACGGGACTTCCGGTGAGCCTGCCACTAACCTCTGTTTCCTGAAGAGATCGAATCTTTGCCACAGTTACTCTTGACCTGATAAAGAAAAAGATTTAAACAGGCACTTCAAGATATTTGGAGTCCAACGTGTTTAATTAAAATGAATTAAAATCAGGAGAGATGAGAAAGGACAGAATTTTCAGTAAAGAGAGGCTTGCATTTTAAAATTCAGAAGACCACCCTCCTTCCAGCCAAGAATAAATTGGAAACTATTTTAATTGACACGGATACTGCAATTCAACTGTTACTAGAAAGACAGATTAGTTGATTGATTTGCATTTTAATAAAACTAATACTTTACATTTTGGTAGCTAATGCTGATTTTCAAATGAGGTGAGAACTGTTATCATGAGTTTCCATCCAGGGCCCTTTTTCAATGTTGACTGAAGCATTCCTCCCTTTTGTGTGGAGTTTGCTTATTTTCTTTTTGCCCAGCTGACTACTGCATGCGCAAAGCCCAGGAGCCACCGACCTTGGAGAGCTCCCAGAACGCTCGCAGCGGGGAGGGGGGGCCCGGCGGCACCCCCCACCCACCATGGGCTGGGAAGCAGGCAGTGGGCCCCTCCCCTCACGACAGAGGACGGAGGCTGCTTTCTTGCCTTAGATTATTTTACACTAACAACTAACTACAGAAAAGTAGAAGGGACAGGTAAGAAGTCCTGGCCAATATCCTGTTACCCAGAAATACCCGCCTCTCCGTGTTCACAGTTCAGTACTCCAGGGCCGTCTTTCCTGTCAGGGCAGCTGTGGTGTGGTGTGGAGTGGCCCCGCCTGTTCTCCCCCGCCCCAGGGCAGCTGCAGGGGGAGACTTTGTTTTTACTTTAGACTATTTGAAATTTTCTACTCAGTCTTTTAAAAACAATGAAAAAAAAAAAAATTCACGTGGGCACACCTCCCCCTCCACCTAACACCCCCCCCCAGTTGGAAACCCCTGGTAGGTACATAGTATCCTGCATGTTAATATTAATAGTTTAGTGAAAGAGGGGCATGTAACTATGGAGCTCAGGGTCGCGAGTTCGAGACCCACGTTCAGTGTAGAGGTTACTTAGTTCAGAGCCTCCTGGCTGGCTCTGTCAGTTAATCGCCTGATCCTTGGTTTCAGCTCAGGTTATGATCTCAGGGTCCTGCGACTGAGTCCCATGTTGGTCTCCGTGCTTAGCAGGGGGTCTGCATGACATTCTCTCTCCCTGTCCCTCTGCCTTCCTCCTACTTGCGTGCACTCTCTCTCTAAAATAAATCTTAAGGGGCGCCTGGGTGGCTCAGTGGTTTAAGCCTCTGCCTTTGGCTCAGGTCGTGATCTCCTGGGATCAAGCACCGGCCTCGCTGCTCAGTGGGGAGCCTACTTCCCCCCTCTCTGCTTGCCTCTCTGCCTACTTGCAATCTCTATCAAATAAATAAAATCTTTTAAAAAATAACCTTATAAATCTTAAAAAAATAATACAGTAAAAGATTATTTCCATGTTTTACAGATACCTTTTAAGTCATTTAATTGCTAATTAAGAATTCCATTTGGGGCCTGTATCTTTAGCACTTAGCCAGATCCCCTGTAGTTGAACATTTAATTGTTAACAACTATTTGCCATTATGAATAATGTTGCTGTCTAACATTTGTGCATAAAGCTTGTTTATCATCTTTTGAAATAATTATTTTTCGGGGCACCTGGGTGGCTCAGTTGGTTAAGCGTCTGCCTTCAGCACTGGTCATGATGCCAGGGTCCTGGAATCGAGTCCAGCCTTGGTGCCCCCTGCTCAGCAGGGAGTCTGCTTCTCCCTGTCCCTCTGCATCTACCCCACTCGTGTGCATGCTCGCTCTCTCCCTCTCAAATAAATAAAATCTTAAAAATATATATATATATATTTTTTTTTTGGCATATATTTTTAGGAATAAAATGGATCAGGGGAAAGAAAGAGTCCAACGATTGGGAAGGCTCTTGATTCCTATTACGAAGGCTTATTTCAGCAGCCTGTCCACTGCTGCCTCACCGTAGGCCCTGTGGTTCCGCAGCAAAGGGTGTGGAGAGGCAGAGAGAAGACTGGCCCAGGAGCCTGATCCTGGGGTTTCTTTCTTGCCCCCCAGGGAACGCTGCAAATCAGCATCCTCCTCTGGGAGGATTAAAGAGTAATGTGTTTGAAGATGCCCCGTGAAAGATGGAGAATCAGAAAGTGACACCGTCATCTCCCTCTTCGGCCCCCATACCTTTTTTCTGCCCACTGGATGGAATATAATCTGCTCCACTCTCCCCTACAGTTTTAGGCTCTTGCTGCTTTCGGGGTCTTCATCCTGGGGATCCCTCAGGTGGGTTTCCCTCCCCTTCCGTGGCTGTGCACTCCTCCTCGCTGCTTGTATGGCCCTTGCTGGGTAGCCAGGGCCTCCAGGGGTCGCCGCCCAGGGCCATCATTTGGAAACCCTGAGAACCAGCAGAACACGGGAAAGTCCGCTGGAAGCCGACCAGCCCCACACTCCGCATACCCAGTTTAGAAGCATCGTTTCCTCTCAGAGGTTGGTTTTCCTGGGTTCCCTGTACTTGCTAAGAGCTCTCCCAAGATCACCGCCTCTTCACCTCTCACCGTTTCACCCGGAGGGAGCTGAGTTCGAGGCACTGAATGAATCCAAACGTGACATTCGTCATCACCCTTGGAACTGCTCCCCAGGGACATAGCAGTCACTGTGTCCATGGAATGTGGTGATGCCAAGATCCAAGTCTCCCTGGGCCAGACTCACGAATAACACAGCCACCCGTCTCAGCAAACTTTGCAGATGAGCCAAAGGTCAGGAGGCCGGTGGGCCGAGGGTGTAGATGCGCAGCCTCGTCAGGGCCGGGCTGTGGGCCGCCCCTCTGCGACGCCCTGCCTGTGCGGCCCTGTGTCCCCGTGCTTACTACACCCAAATCCAAGCAGCGAGCCTCATCTCAATCAGACAAACCTCAGTCTGTGTTTTTACTTTTAAATGTATGTATGTGCTTGGGTAGTGGGGGCCCTTGTGTGAGGAATTAATTACATTGCGCTTGCCTTACTTAGTCGTTGTTCATTTTCTTTCCATCTTTCTTTACTCTCCCTTTCTTCCTAATATCCCTCAAATAATTGCTCCTTCTCTGTTGAGTCCAGACGGTGGAGGGGGGGGTTCCCTGTCGCCCTATTGATTTGTATCCCCCACCCCTGCGCACAGCTGTCCCGGGCCCGCCCCTGCTCTGGACAGGGGGGCTGTGGAAGCGCGGAGGGGGTGCCCCTCACCAGCCTCGGGCTCCTCCCGCGCCCTTCGCCGGGTGGTCTGCCTCTAGAGTGCTGCTGCCCCAGAATTTATATTCCTGGGAAGTTTGCTGCTTTTATTTCCGTCGGGTCAGGGTTCTCCGTTCATTTGTCGAGGTCAAAGACACTGAATTCTCGGGAAAGAAAATTTTAAAACTTAAAAAAAAAAGCAACAACCAACCAGCCACCAACAATCCCTCATCGCTGATAGGGTGGAAGAAGAATATAAGGTCCCCAAAGGGCACAGTGACAGTAACACAGAAGGGTCCCTGCTCACCCCACCACCCCACCTTCCTGTTTGTGACTGGATTGGAAATGAGCTGGAGCCGCTCTGACTGGCAGGCGCCCATCACGTGGTGAGGCCCTTCCTCCTCCTCCTCCCCCTCCTCCTGGCCTGTCCTTTCCCACCATCGGGGCTGCTGGGTTTATCTGGAGCCTGGGTTACCGGCTCCTGCAGAGACTTGGGGGCACAGCTTAGTCCAGGAGTGGGGTGTGTGGCGTTCCCAGTAAAGCCCAGATAGGAACAGAAGGTGGAGCGGAAAAAATCCTGGCCTAGAAATGAAACCTGCTAGGGTTTGACCTTGGGGA